TTAATGACTAAATAACACATAGGATAACTATTATAATCATATAATATATAGGAAAATTAGTGTGCAATGTACTATTTTCTCTTTGTATTTTTTTCCTGTTTTTCCCCAAAACTTCTAATTATGGCAGATTTGTAAATTAAAATAAAAGCAAAATCCTCTAATTTTTTTATACTGAAATGTCAATTTTGCCCTCCCAAATCCCAACTATTAGTCACATCATAAATAAATAAATAAATAAAATTGATTAGGTGGGACTCACAATAAAAGCATGCTTGGGAAAGGAAAAGGAATCATGAGAAGAATTCAGATGACCCAGCTCATCAGGAAAAAAATGGGTTAGGGTTTGGATAGAGGGGGATATTTAATAAAATCTCTCATTGTTGTACTTACCCCTAAAAGTGAACAACCAGTGGTAGTGGGTTTGTCATTCATATGTTTGTGTTGTAATGAATACTAGTACTAGCAAAACTGCAATAAAGGAAAAGCACTTCCACAATCCACATCCTATGGCTATGAACATACCATACTTACTGGTTTGTAAATGGGACCCTCAACCAGAAACGAAAAGTCCTTTTGGATCATATCTCAATTATTGTTTTTGTTTTTTTTTTCCCTTCTGTTTTGGGGTTGGGGAATTGGCCCACTTATCCCAAATGAGTCGATGAGGGCCCATGAGACGTTATTTTTTGTTTTTTTGTTTTTTGTAATATTTGATATAACTTTTAGGGATGTTAGTGGGTCGGATTAAATGGTAAACCCGGCTGAACCTGGTCTTTTAGGCTTGGGTTTTGATTATTCAACTGAGTCAGGTTTGGGTTTTGGTTGACCCAGCCACCGGGTCATGGTACCCTGCATATATACAAAATATTCTTGTAACTTTTTGACTTGTAACTCTATAGTTTTAAAGTTTAAGATTTATTTACATGATGGTTTTGATTTTTTTTTAATGGGAAGAGTGACATCTTAGATTCTATAAAATAATTTCCTAACTTAAATTAATGAATTTTATCATTTTAGGTCTTCAAAGCGTGTTAAAAAATACAATTAAAATGCTACGGGTCAGGTAGGGTTGGTATTGGATTAGGCCCTATAGGGTCGGGTCGGGTCAGGTTTGAAAAATCATGCATTTTGACACGGGTCGGGTCATGTTCGGGTTGGTGCACTATAGGGTTGGGTTAGGGTTGAGGCAACCCCGTGCCAAACCCAACCCAAAATTTTTGAACCGTTGTTGACCTGGACGGTCGGACCGTTCGGCTCGGGAACCAGCCAGGCAACCGGTTCCGTTTTACCCCAAACCCGGAATCTGGTAAAAAACTGTTGAAAAAGTCGACAAACCATTGACCTGAGCGGTCGAACCATCGACCCGTCGACCCGTTCAACGGTTTTTGACCGTTTTTTATTTTTTTAAATTATTTTTTATTTTGCTGTTAGAATGGGTTGTCGTTCAAACTGGACGGTCGGACCATTGACCCGGAAACCAGTGACCAAAACAGTTTCGTTTCTGAGTCGTTTTTTAAAACGTTGACCCAACCTGGCTTCCGTGGGCCCAAAACCCAATAATCTTCCAAAATGAAAGAAAAACTCATAGTTTTTTAATGGATTAAATATAAACATTCATTACATGAAAATGAGGATTTATATCCCAAGGCCTCAATCCAGTGTTTTCAAACCCGAACTGGACCGGATGGTCAGGTTGGAAAAATCGGGAATCGGTCACTTGATTGGTTTTGTTTTACCCCAAAATCATTTTTTGGCAATAAATTGTTGATTTCTTCAGTAAACTACAGTTTTTTTGTCATTTTTTTATTATTTTATTATTTTTTGTCAGAAGTGAGCCATCCATTCGGACTGGACGATCGGACCATTCAACCTGGAAAAAACTTAGAATGGTACCCTGTCCAATCTAGTTTTAAAAACCTTGCCTCAACCTTACCTCTTAACTTTTTTCTTGCTTTTATATTATATAATTTGCATTATAGGCTTAATTTTGAAAAGAATATAAATACAAATATATATAGTATAAATGAAAACAAAATAATACAAAATACAAGATTTTGCGTGCTCTACGTATTTATAATTTTACTCATTCTAAACTGAGTACGACTTTGAGATGAGGACAAAGCAAGGTGCATGTAAGGCCTGCTGACTAGGGGTGGATTCGAGCCGAGCCAAGCCGAATAGTACTAGGCTCGAGCTCGAGTTCAATTCGAGCCAGAACCTTGAACTTGAGCTCGGCTCGAGTAAAAAATTTATAAGCTCAAGCTCGATTTTGAGAAAAAAATATTTTATAAAAGTAAAAATTATATATAAAAATATTTTTTATTTGATATTAAAAAAATTAAGAATTATAATATTTTTATTATATATATATATTATTTTTTATTATATATTATTATATTTTATATAATATATATATATATATCTCGAGCCGGCTCGCGAGTCTCACAAGTCGAGCTCTAGTAGGCTTGAGCTCGGCTTGTTTAATAATCGAGCCAGTGAATTAGGCTCGAGCTTGAGCTCGAGCTCGATTGAAACTGAGCTGAGCTGAGCTCGAGCAGCTCATGAAAAGCTTGGTTCGTTGCCACCCCTACTGCTGACCATTTCAACTGCTAAACATCGACACCTTAACTAAATTTTCAATCAAACTCGATCCAATCCTACTTTTTTGAAATGTGTTTGGGCAAACCTAGTCCATATTGTGCCTCCTGTTTACAAGTAGATGTGTTCATGGGTTAGGCTCGGCCCTATTTTTTGCCAAAATTCTAATAGGCCAATATGAAGCCTGAGCCTAAAACAGTGTAAAGTTGAGCCAAAGCCTAGCCTGTGAACATGTTTATTCACAAGTTGTATGTTTGGTACCATTGCTATGTATCATAATAAATGTGCCACGCTGCTGCTAGAGGTGTAAATCGGGTCATGCCGCCCGTGACCTGGCACGATGGTCCATGCTGTGCTGGGCCTAGGGTTTTAGGTCCGCAGGCCGGGCTGGCACAACACGACCAAAATTCTATATATAAGCAATTGTATACATCAAAATTCATATAAAATTAAAATTTGAAGTTTTTTCAATTTTTTTTAAATAAATAGGCAAAAATAGCTTTGACTCGGTTTATGGCCCCACTTGGGTCAAAGCTTGGCCCATGGGCCAGCCCGGCCCACGACACAACACGACATGATACGGCATGGGTCGTGGGCCTTGCTAGCCTGACCCCCAAACTTTTCATTGAGGAGAGCGGCACGGCCCGTGACGGCCCATGGGCCAGTACGGCACGACCCACACTTTGCATGGACCGCCCGCAGGCCATGCCATGCCGGCCCACTTTACACCTCTAGTTGGTGCCATGTAAGTGTGGTATTACTTTTTTTTTTTTGGTTTGGTTGAACTATTTCAAGTAACATTAAACATCACAGGTTATGTGGAAAAGGAAACACCAATTTGACACTTCTTGCAATGGGAAAACGTTTTCACTTTTTGGTTGTTCGTGGTGCTTACCTTGAGTTTGCATACGCCCCACGTTACATCTCATTGTGAACATCTTTCCATTTGAATTGCCTCCCCATAGAACGTGCCCACAACACATTCCAATCATGCATTAAAAATATCTCCCGCTTATTTGAATAATAATAACAAAAAAAGGGTTATGGCCCCATCTTCATAGTCTCATACTCCTCTATTTTCGTGGATTTTCCATATGAGCATTTCAAAGTATTGAAGAAGGAAACACTTCTGACAGTTAAAAAAAAACCTCTGTTTCCACAAGACCTGAAGACGATGATGAGAAATGGGTTGAAATATGAACAGTCCAAAATGAAATTTTATTCTCTTTACCCCGTTCTTGGAAACCAACTTGTTGTCACTTTACCACCTAGAATCTAACATAGGCAACTCGTCGGAGGGAGAACTCCCAAGATCGATTTGTGAGATTCTCCCAAAAATGTATTTTACACGGGACAAAAATGATAAAGAGGGATTAATTGAGATACCTCTAGCATGGTTTTCAAAACCAGATCGGATCGAACCAGATGGTTGGACCGGAAAACTAGGAACCAGTCAGGTGATCGGTTTCGGTTTTTCTCAAAATTGGAAATTTGCCCAAAACCGTTGATTTTGGTCAGAAAACCACTGACCCGGGCATTTAATCGTTCGAATGGTTTTAATCATTTTTTATTTTTTTAATTTTTAAACTTTTTAATTTTTTTTGGTCAAACTGTTTGGTTCGAACGATCGGCCTGTTTGACCCAGTAACCAAACCCCTTACCAGTTTGGTCTCTGAATCGTTTTTAAAAACCATGACCTCTAGTTGCTAAGTGTTGTCCAATTTTTCACGTTGAAGTGGACAATCTGATTGAAAATCGACATTTCTCCTATTGAAGCTTGAAAGGAAACGCATTTTTTTTTTATCTTTTTTTTTTTAATTTTGGAAAAGTATGGATAGGCGACAGGCCCCATGTAGATTTCTGAATTCCTATGCAGATTTATAAACATTTAAAATGTCAAATATTCACACTATGCATCAATGCTCGCCCATGAATTAGCATCAATTCCAAGCTGACATCTACCCCATCAGTACTTTGAGCCTACAAATTCTGACCCTGGGCTGAACCGTCATTTTCCCTTTTTTTTCCTAGTTAATGTCAAATTCAATTAACATAGGTTAATTAAATATAGAAATCTCCCTTTTTAAATAATAAATGATAAATAATATATTATAAATATATAATGTATATTTATTAATTTATAATATATAAAATATATATAATATACATTAATATATAAAATATACAAAAATATATGTATACTGATCGGTTTGATTAACCGTCGATTTTTTTATGTTGGTTAATCAAAACCGAACCGATACCTTCAGTTTTATAAAAACATCGAATCGAAACCGAACCGACCGATTCGATTAACCGATTTTTCGATTCGGTTTCGACCGATTTTTTCGGTCGGTTCGATTTTTGTGTTTTTTTTTTTGCTCCCCCTAGCCTCGGATTGTAAATTACCGCCTCAAAGGCTCAGTGTTAAGGTTAGCGTCGTCTTAACGTTACCCGTCACAGACGAAGCGGGAAAGAGAAGACGAAGCCTGCCGCTCGTGCTTCTCTCACTATAACGGAACACAGAAGTAAATCTCCAACTCTTTTTCCATCATCCGCCATTTGATCCCGTTTGATGAAATCTGCTCTGTCTATTTATTTATTTTTTTGTTACTAAGTTTCCTGAATTTCATCCAAGTAATAAGTTGATTATCAGTTCTTCTTTGTTCATCTTCACGAGATTATCACTCGTATAAACGTTGATTTTTCTTCATTTAGCATATTCTGTTTGCTTGTTATTGTTGGTTTTAAGTCTTCCATACATATATCATTCTTTTCTATGCGCCGTTGGTTTGTAAGGGTTTAGGGTTTATTGGTTTATGTCCAAAACAGGGAGGGGCGGTCGCATTACGGGCAACCCTTTGTTGGTATTTTCTGAAGGCTCGAGGGGCAACTGCGAGTGTGCAAAAATATGGTACGTATATGTGTATGTGTATGCTTGTTTTTTAATATAATTTGGTCTATCTAGAACAGTAGAATTTTTCAGGTATTCCTGTTGCCAATTTATGTTTCTACTCGTACTGTTGTTTCAGTCAGGCCGTAAAGAAACTGTTTTAGATCTGGCAAAGTTTGTTGACAAGGGTGTCCAAGTCAAACTAACTGGTGGAAGACAAGGTCAGTTGTGTTTTTCTGGTTTTCCGTTTCTATATTTTGTTTCCTCTGTAGACATGCGGGCTAGTTTGTTCTGTTTCGTGAAAACTTAAGCTCTGCCACCTTTTGTTTTACTCTCAGTTATTAAACAGGAAATCAGATGCCCTTTTTTCGACAATCAACAGTAATAGATTAAAGGAAAATTAAAGCTCAATATAATTCTACTGTCCTGAATGGGGATAACAGAAAACAACAAAAACGGTATTATATAGGGAGCAGGACAAAACTTTTGTATCATACTCATAGTCCCATAGTTAAATAGTAAGTTTAAGTTCTTATTTTGCCTAAAAAAACAATAAAAATGGTATGCATCTTACTATAGAAACTTGATAAGTTTAGTCCTTGCAGTAGGGCCAACAGCTCTGCTCTTAAAGATGAACCAGTCCCAGCAGGGCCAAGGAAACTTAATAATATATTATCACCATCATTTCCTACTGCTTGGCTTATATTTTTTTCATACTCTCATTGTTAGACTTTTAACTACTCTTTAGACCTTTTGCATGTGGCAGGAATTATGATATTATCTGTGTTTGTAACTCGTAGAAAATAACTACAGCAATGCTTGCAGTTTTCAATTAGTTTCTCTCTCTCTCTCCTCCTCCTCCTCCCTCTCTTATTTTATCCCTTGAGAACAATAAGGTCTCATTGTGAATTTCTAAACTTAAGAAGATGATTTTGCAAATATGTGGCTAAAGCATAATAACCATCCAAACATTGTCTTCAATGTGGTTAAAAAAGGGTAGGTCTTCTAGAGAAGAAGTCTAGTGGACTTGTTTTGATGGGGTTAACATTCCATGTACATTGTGCTACCTTGCAAGCATGGTTTTGAAAACTGGACCAGTCGGACTGTTTGACCCAGGAACCAGTCATCGCTCTGGGTCCGGTTTTGAACCCCAAAACCGTTTGAGCAGGGTTGACCAGATGGTTGGACCGTTCGACCTGAGAACCAGTGGTCAAAGCGGTTCTGTTTCTGGGTTGTTTTTTAAAACCATGCTTGCAAGAGTTATCTTTGAATTTCTTGGTTGTATTACTGTAGTTTATCATGTTTATGCACTATTTAGTAATTTGAATATTCCCAACTTAGTTTTGGTCATGACATGTTATATTTTCTTGTGGATTTGACATTGCTTACTTCAGTATTTTTGTTCATTAATATTTCTCATGATGTTTGAAACATCTACGTCATGTCCTTCCAAATTTCAACTCTTGAGTTGACTCCCAAGGATGGGGGCCAAATCATGGTGGTGACTCCTTTTGTGTATGTTTTCTTTGAGCCAAGTGATACATTCCAGTGACTCCTTTGATTCCCAGGCAAGTCAACTTTCATTGATTCCTAGAAGTGACTTATTTCACTAGTTAGATGTACACTATGCAATTTAAAATGAATAAATTGGTGTTTGAGGATTTAAAAGCTCAATATAGGTTTTTTTGATAGGTAATAAAGATTTATTCCATTTTCTGTTCAAATAAATTAATGAAAAAAATCCTAATTAGATTAGTCATTAAAACCATAGATGATCCACCTGTTTTTGCCACATGGAAAACTGCCCATCAGATAGGGAATCCTCTAAATTGACCAGATGCACAATTTCACTGTCTACATTATCTATATACTTAGCCTTGTATTGGAGATTCTTTTTTTTTTGAAAAGGTAAGGTAAAGTATTGTATTAAGTATCAAAAGTATAAAGATCTGTACAAGAGGCTGTACACACAGTATTAGAGCCCCCCAAAAAAATTAACCCTCAAAAAAGAACCGGAGCTAAACACATCAGAAGTAGACAACCAGCTCCTCAGCTCTTCCACTACAAAGTTGATCACCCAGCCTCAGATTTGACTTTCTGTTCAAATAACCTGTTATTCCTTTCTAACCAGATTGCCCACATAACTGCAGCTGGAATTACAGATCACACAAGCTTCCCTTCTGTGGACAAACCATCCAATAAATCTATGATTTCTGATTTTGAGAACTTTAAACCTATTATGAAATATGAATATAAAATGTAATGCCACATAAGCATAACTTAATAAAATGGCTCCCTGAGTCAACTCTACGACTCCTAGGTTGCCTCGGCTATGATACATCTGTTCTTTTGTTTTTGTTTTTTTGTTTTGTTTTGTTTTGTTTTGTTTTGTTTTATGGTGCTACACGACCGCGGGGGAGTAGCCCGATCCCGAACCTATAATCCCCTGAACCCTGGTTGCAGTGGGATTTGATCCTAAGTCTCCACTACAATAAGCAACAACCTCACCAACTGAGCCAGTTGGCACCATCATCTATGATACATCTTACATCCTTATGCATGTGCCTAAGTATATAATATTAACTATTTTATCTTTTTGTCCAGTATGTGGTATCTGATTGAGTACTATTTTCTCTTGCAGTGACAGGGACATTGAAAGGATATGACCAGTTACTGAACCTTGTACTGGATGAAGCTATAGAATTTCTAAGAGGTATTCACTTAATGCATATAAAAATTATTTGGCAACTTTTTTTTTTGCAATTTTCTTGATCTTTTCTTTATCTATCTATGTATCTATATTTATTCATTTATTTGAAAAGGAAGGCACTTGATTGATTGCATTGAGATGCATCAAAAAAGATCTTTATGCACACATTTAAGAGCACATGTACCAATATACATCAACTTCATGTTATAAACAAAGGGTTGAAATAAAAAAGGAGTGAGAATGAGGGAAGTTTTTCAACCACAAAAGGAAGAGGTAAAGGGTGTTGGGCTGAAGGCCTCTTGGCAACATGTTTGTTTGCTTGTGTTGGAGTGAAGGTTTCAAATTTTGAAAAATTCATCCATTTAAGGCTCTATTATCAAAGATGGAACTTTTTGATGGTTTAAAATTTCGAGGGAAACATTGGGGTTTCAGTTTTGATCGTTTTATTTCAAAACTTTCTAGAGGTTACTGCAATTTATTTCACTTCTAGCAGCCCTTGTTGCAACATTGCATACTTGTACTTTTATATTCCAACATGGTGGTCGCTTCTGATAGAGTGAGTAAAAGGTTAAGCAGTTTTGCTTGTTAACCTTGCGCTGCAGATCCGGATGATCCACTGAAGACAACTGATCAGACACGTCGTCTTGGTTTAATAGTATGTTTTCTTCCACTATTTCTAATTTTTATTCACGTAGAATCTCTTTTTTTCTTGTTATGAGGAATCATTTTATAGAAAGTTCTTAATGATTGTAAGCACTTTAACCTTCCCAGTTTATTGCTGAAGCTATTTCATTGCACTCATAAGAAGAAGTGATTTGTTGCAAGTTGAAGGGATCTAGAAGGGCTAGGGGTAGACCAAAGAGGACTTGGGTAGAAGTAGTAAAAGATGATTTTAACTTCCAGGAGAGTTGATTCGGCCTAGAAAGGAGTTGGAAAGAAAGAAAATAGGCTCGGGTGAGGAGAAAGCCGAAACAGGGAGAAAGGGGGATTCAATCTTTTGTAAAGACCAGGGAATGGGTGCTTGTACGGTGTGTGTTGGTAATCTGGTTCCTCCAAGCAGAGCTATAAACTGCCCGTTTCCCACTGCAATCAATCCAGATCTTGATTTCAAGGGTCCTATTCCCAACAAAAGTCAAACAAAAGGGGTTCAGGCTATTCCAGCAATTCATATTGCATCTTCTTCCTCCCAAGGTTTGGATTGTTTTCAGGTTCAGTTTTTGGTTACTAACTCTTTTTCCCCAAGTCCTGTGTGTGTCTGGCCTACAGGTGATTCCAGCCCAGYTWTAAAGTCTGCCAATTYGTTTGAKTCRGGACAAGTGACAGAGGTAGTGGGGGAGATAAATTCAGAAGCAGAAGAGAGAGAACTAGGGGACAAAATTTGGGAGTTGATCTTGGAACTATTTAGAATCAGAATGGAAGAGGAGCTGAATGTGAAAGAGGGTAGGGTTTGAGGAGGAGATTATTCAATTTCTCAATATAGTGAAGAAAAGTGGATATAGTGGAAAATCAAAAGGACAATGGAAAAAGAAGAAGGGGTCAGGTGAGAAACTAGAAGGAAATGAGAAGGTGGAAGAGTCTAGTAAGAAGGTAGGAGAGCTTTGTAAGAAGAGGAAAAAAAAGCTGAGTGAGGTGGAGAGGTTGAAGAGTTGGGTGGTTTATGATAAAGCGAGTACGGGTAGGAAGGATAGAAAAAAGGAGTAAAGAGGGTGGTTTGGTTGGGGCTACCTGAAATGTTTGTCAATGAAGTTAATAAGCTGGAACGTAAGAGGTTTGGGGAGTTCAAAGAAAAGGTGAGTGATCAAAGACTTCTTGAGAAGAGAAAAGCTGGATGTGGTCTTAATACAAAAATCAAAATTGACTGAGGTGGACAAGAAATGGGTGAGGAGCATCTGGTCAACAAGAAATTTGAGTTGGGCCTTTGTACAATCGTGGGGAGCTTCAAGGGGAATTATTACTTTGTGGAGAAATGAAGACTGGGAGTGTGAAGAAGAATTAATTGGGAACTTCTCGGTGTCAATAAAATTGAAGAGAAATGTAGATGGATGGGTTTGGGTGCTAACTAATGTCTATGGTCCCACCTCTTACAGGGAAAGGGAAGGTTTCTGTGAAGAACTAGCAGATGTTAGGGGTTTGTGGGATGGCCCTTGGTGTTTGGGTGGGGATTTCAACGTAATAAGATTCTTGAATGAGTCCAATAACCCTAGTCGTAGGATTACATCTAGCATGAGGAACTTTAACCTCTTTGTGGAGAATTTTGCATTGCGGGACCTCCCTCTTCAGCAAGCAAATTTTACCTGGTCAAACTTCCAAGAAAACTCTACCTGTTGTCGATTGGATAGGTTCCTCTTTACAGTGGATTGGGAAGGTGAATGGGGGATTTTAGGTGTTACAGCATTGCCGAGACCTATTTCAGATCATTGCCCAATCAGGTTGTCTTAAGAAAGACTAGATGGAGGCTTGTGCCCTTTTAGGTTTGAAAACATGTGGTTACTTCATCCAGAGTTTCTAGCTAAGGTAAAAGAATGGTGGGAAGTGGACCAAGTGGAATTCTGATGGAAGGGGTATAGGTTTTACAAGAAACTACAACTCTTGAAAGCTAGACTCAAGATTTGGAATAAAGGGGTTTTTGGTAGATTAGAGAAAAGGAAAGTGGAAATCAATCAGAGAGTGTAGGAGCTAGATGGACTAGAAACTGAAAGAAGGTTGGGGGAAGAGGGTAGGGTGGAAAGATGGAATTTGAAACAGGAATTGGAAGATCTTCTTAGGAAGGAGGAGATAAGTTGGAGGCAAAAATCCAGGTGCAAATGGCTAAAGGAAGGGGACATCAATACAAGGTTTTTTCATTCGTTGGTAAATGGGAGGAGAAGGAAGAATTTTGTTTCAAAATTGGAGTGGGATGGGTAATTGCTGACAAAGGAAACTGATATAGCTCAAGCTTTGGTTAATCACTTCAAATTAGTGTATGACAACCCAGGGAGACCTAGTGAGAGCTTAGAGGACTTGGAGTGGAGGGTGGAAGATAGTGTCTTATTGGAATCTTTGGAAAAAAGATTTGAGGCCCAAGAAGTGAGAAATGCAATCTTCTCCATGGATCGAGCTAAAGCTCCTGGGCTTGATGGTTTTTCAATGGCCTTCTATCAAGATTGTTGGGAGATAATTAGAGAGGATTTGTTGGAGTTTTTGAAGAGTCTTATGAGAGGCAAATTTAACTCGGGAGCAAATGCAACTTTTATTGCCTTGGTTCCTAAGAAGAAGGATGCTCTCCAACCAAAGGATTTCAGACCTATAAGTTTGGCGGGAAGCATGTATAAGATCATCTCTAAGGTCCTAGCGCTAAGATTAAAAAAGATCTTCCCGTCTCTAATCTCACCGTATCAAGGGGCCTTTGTAGAAGGAAGACAAATTGTAGATCAAATACTTATTGCCAATGAATGTGTTGGGTGAAGAGGAGGAGAAAGGAAAAGGGGTTGGTTTGCAAATTGGATCTTGAAAAGGCATATGACATGGTGGACTGGGATTTTTTACTAGAGGTTCTCAAGCGGAGAGGGTTTGGGGAGAGATGGTGTAGTTGGGTAAAGGGATGCATTTTTTCATGTCATTTCTCAATATTGTTGAATGGTGTAGCTAGGGGTTTCTTTCCTGCAAAGAGGAGTATTAGGCAAGGAAATCCATTGTCCCCATTCCTCTTTACTCTAGTAGCTGATGTGTTGAGTGCCATGATTTCGAGGACCGATGCTAACAATTTGATAAGAGGTTGGAGAATTGGTAGGGAGGAGGTGGTGGTCACACACTTACAATTTGCAGATGACTTCATCTTGTTTTGTGACGGGGAGGAAGGGGAATTATGGAACTTAAAGTGTCTAGTGCTTCAATTTGAAAGGAAGTCCAATCTTAAAGTGAAGTGGGGAAAAAGTTGTGTGGTAGGGCTTAATTTAGGGGGAGAGGAGGTGGAT